ATATGGTCTGCTCTGTTAATTCTTACTCAAACACATTCACATACATGTACATGGTGACAGGAGCCTAAATGCCTTCTCTGAAATTGCAACATGATGTAACCCAACACCAGTTACTATGGTGACAGACGTCAACAAAAGAGGCCATTGGCCAGAACAGAAGAAGAGGAAGAAGCAATGGAGCAAAAACAATATGCTTTCCTTCGGTAAACATAATGAACAAACAAACAAACAAACGTACAGGATGGCTTCCGGGGGCATCCAGCGAACCGGCAGGAGGGACTTGGACTGCACGCGGTAGTAGTCGGACGAGTAGATGTCGCGGGAAAGACCGAAGTCGGAGATCTTCACCAGTAGGTTGTCCCCGACGAGGCAGTTTCGGGCGGCGAGGTCCCGGTGGCAGAAGTGTTTGGAGGCGAGATAGTCCATTCCAGCTGCCACCTGTATGTCAAATGTTGTATTGTGTTAGTTAATAATCATTTATAGTCACTATATCTAACAACCACTCAAGGGACCAAGGAAATATGGTTGTTGACTGGAGTTGGTTGTTGAATAAAACTAGAGTTGGCTGGCTGATAATGAAATTTGGATGGAATGAAACAATGTATAATGATACTCGTAAACAGGCATACAAATCCACTTTTCAGCGGTGTGAACATGGCAAATGTCGTATTGTGTTACTTAATAATTATTATAAACAAACAAACAAACAAACCTGGTTCGCCACACAGAGAAAGTCGGTGTGGTCCAGCGATGAGTGGGACCCCGCGTCGTCCGAGCTCCCCCCGACGTCAGAATGTGGCGATCGCATCACGAGGAACTCGTGCAGATCTCCGTACCGCATGTACTCAAACAGCATGCACATGGGGTGGTCGCGCATCACTACCCCCAGCAGGCACACGATGTTCTGGTGACGAAGATCTGCCAACATGTCCACCTGGAATTGTACAGGAAAGGGAAAAACATTGATAAGTGTTCAGTTTGATACTCCATCAAGCAACTGGATATGATTTTGAAAACGGTCAGACGTTTCAGGTAGCATCCACTACCTTTCATCAGTGACCAGAGGAGAAATGCAGGTTTATAAGCACTGGTCAAGAAAAAGCAAAACACAGGGAAAACAACGAAAAATAAAGTAATACATGGATGGATCACGATTCAGTAGTAGTTCGTAGTTCGGTGGTTCCTGCTGCTGAAATACTGATGTTGGACATCATTTTCTTGTTTAGTTTGATAAATTTTATCTGCCAAGGTGTCCTGAAATTTTATACACAAATTCAATCCTGCTGTCAATCTTTTATGTTCTACCTTGGTTCTACCTTGGTTCTTACTCAAGCAATATGTATCCCTGGTAAAATAAAACAAAAAAACGAACGAAGAAACAAAACAAACCTCTCGGTGAAAGTCGTGCTGAGTTTTCAAGGTCGCGTTCTCCTTGAGCGTCTTTATCGCCACCAGGATCTTCTTGGCGTCCTCGCCTGACCCTGTGACCACCAGTTCACCTTTGTACACCTGAGTGCGAATAAGTCAGAATATGTTACACTTATAATGTTACATGTTTAGTGGCGTTTGTGTGGTGTAGTGGACAGAGCATCTGACTGTCAAGCACAGTTCAGCAGTTTGTTGTAAACATTCTGCATTTGCTTTGCAAATGTTACCTCTCTACTAGTTTACACTTATAAAGTTACATCTCCATGTACACATGTACTATCTGTTAGGATTTTACCTTGCCTATCACTAAGTCTTGTTTTATTGTACACGGCTTTGCCTTTAGTGCAACTGGTAAAAGGTGCATCAAGTTCATAGTTTCTAAGAACTAGATGCTACTGTTCTACTGAAGCTAGGTGTTACTGATTCATTGCTTATTGGTGCTAGATGAAGCTACTGAAGCTTGGGGTGTTACATGTACAGCGAAGCTACATGTATGTGCTACAGGTTCAATATGTACATGTACTGAAGCCCGGTTTACTATGTCTTCATCTTCATCTTTGCCGGGGCTCTGAGATGTTATATGAGCCCCGGCTACACCCCCATATAGCCGCTATTGGGGCACTTTAGGGGGTGAGGCCTTGGTCTATGTACTGAAAAAAAAGCTCAAAGTTTCACCTTGCCAAAAGCGCCCTCTCCCAGCTCGGTGAGGAATCGCACGGCCGCGATCGGAAACTGCGGGCACCGTGGAACGTGCTTCGCGAACAGGTTCTGCAGCGGGATGGTCTCGCTGGCGGAACCCTTCACCGCTGCCCGGTTACCGTTGCCGCGGGCGTCTCCATGGCGACGGCAGGTGCAGTAGATGAAGAAGATGAGCGCGATGATGAGAGGAACGGAGATGCTCGGAACCAGGATGATGATCAGGCTCATGATCTGGTCACTCCCACCCTCCGGCATTTCTGTGGAGCAACAGAGACACCTAGCATCAGGCAACGGAACTGCAGGCAGAACAAATAGACTAAAGTGCAACAACCTTCAACAACAGTTTAGCAGCAAACTTGGTCCTTTCCTAACTGGCATTTCTGTGGAGCAACAGAGACACCTAGCATGAGAAAATGGAACTGCAGAGACACCTAGCATTGGGAAACGGAACTGCAGTGCAACAACCTTCAACAATAGTTCAGAAGCCAACATTGTCCTTTCCTGAGGAGGTGAAGCTAATTAGCTGAACCTTCTGTGGAGCAACAGAGACACCTAGCACGAGGGAACGGAACTGCAGGCGGAACAAATAGTGCAGCAAATTTCAACGACTGTTGAGAGTAACGAAGTAAACTTTGTCTTCCCTAACGAGGTGAAGTTAATGAGCTGAACCTGCTGTAAGGCCACATTAATTCACCTTCTTGGTTCTCAGACGTTTCTTGTTCAGCAAAAGGTCAAGGTCAAAGCCTGCATGTTGACCTTCCAGATCAGCATTATCTCAGAAAAACATCCGAGAACCAAGAAACCTGTTCAATGTGGCCAAAAGGAGGGAGTGAATGAATGAATTAGTGACGAAACTTGGTGACCTGTGGGAAGGTTTGACTGTTGCCCAAAACATGAAAAATCTGAAGCAAAACAAAAATGGTTGGTTGTTAGATGACCTGTGCACTTTGACCTGTGCACTTTGACCTGTGACATGTTCAGCAAACCGGACACCGTTAGCAATGAGGAACTGAAAATAAACAAAAGGAAATTCTTAATGAGAAAAAAAGAACAAAAAAAGAAAAAATGCTGGTTAATTAATTCGCGATGTTTTGCACCTTACATCCCAGCGACCTTGACTGCCCTTGCCACCATGACAAGATGGAGGCATACTCACCGCCGTCCACGTAGAACTTTACAAACAGCACGCCGGTGGTGCCGACGGCCTCCACGCCGTTATTGGCCACGCACCGGTAGTACCCGGTGTCCTCGGTCACCACGTGACGAATCAGGAGCCGGGACTCCCACCTGTAATGGCGCATCTCGACCCGCGGGTTTAGCGCGGCCAAAAGCGGAACGTCGTTCTTGTACCAGCTAAACGCCGGGAGGGGACGCCGCCCTCGACCGTACGCACGCGGCACACGAACGTGGCCGAACCGCCCTCCAGGACGGTCACGTTGTTCAGCCGGTTCAACCGCCCGGGAAGATAGCGAACTGCGGAGGAACGGACAACGGAACATGGACAACAGTTTCACATGGGTTAGAAACTATCAGTGTTCTCGCCAGGCCTTTTGAGCATAGGGGCCCCCTATGCTGTGATTTGGGCCCCCTATGCTGTGATTTGGACCCCCTATGCTGTCTTTCAACCAGCATAGTTTTTTGGCATTGTTTTGGGAGGAGAAACTTCATAAATCTTGCATAAAATGAAAGTATAACTTTAGAATGAAGCTATAGCCTTAACTTCACAAAATCTGTCCCTCAATAAACAAGAAATAGTGTCTCAGGGGGTTATGAGTTTCAAAATTTTTAGGCTCAATACACGACTTGCGCCGCGAAAGTTTTCCTTCGGTACCTGACCCCTATGATGTGAAAAAATCCTGGTGAGAACACTGAGATGCTATTGACACAGTTAGCAAGTTAACAAAGACAGCCTCTGGTTCATATATAGTCCACTGTGGAGGAAACAGACAACATTTTGACACAGAATGTCAATGAAGGTTAGACATTTTCACATGGGTTAGAAACTTATCCACACATAACTTAATAAGAACACCCCTTGGTTCAGACGCAGTGCACTGTGGA